CGCTAGTGGGTGTAACGCTAGCACATGTCGACATGTTTACTGATATGACTGGTTTATTCTGTCGCCTGCCAGTGGGTTGTTATAACGCTGGCCATGACTTATAGATGAGACTACTGAACTGAGATTTATTCTGCATGAACGGTTGTCATGAAACACTGTTATTGAACTGAACTGGACTTTGCATTAACGGTTGTCAGGAAACGTTTTGTTATTGAACTGGATCTGATTTTCCATTGATGGTTTTGTCATCGAACGTTTTGCTATTGAACCGAATTTGATTTCCGCATTAACGGTTTATCAGTGAAAGTTCTGTTATACTTACATGGTTTATCTGACATGTTAAAAGTTTTACCCAAGGGCTATTCATATTTACTTACTGAGTTTTCTCATAGTTTTCCTTGTCCACCATTTCAGGAAGTGAAACCGAGGACGGGGAAACCGAGGGGAGTGACGAGGTAGAAGGCTAGCCATTCCAATTGAATATAAGTTTTAGATTTTATCACCCTTTTGTAAGTTAGATTTTGTTCTTGAGATTTGTGATTTGAATAAGTTCCAAGCCTTGTGCACTTGTGGGACCCGTCTCACGAGTGCACGGCGTCTGTCGCGCCTCGAATTTGGGTTTTGGGGCGTGACATCAACTTTGTTAGTGTCAAACGTGTACTCATCGATACTAGATCTTCTTTCAACCTGAAATTGCTATCCCAACAAAAAGTTGTCAAAACTCCATTTAACAATGTTAGCTTTAAAAGCAACAGTGAGCATGCTTTTGGATACATCTAACTTGAACTAAAGGTTGATCCAATCCAATCTTTGACTGTAGTTTATGTTATTGATGTGGAAGTCTTTTATCATATATTGCTATGACAATCATGGCTATATCAACAAAAGCATTCCTTCTACTTATCATCAATGTGTCAAAGACCATCTAAATGGAAAAGTCCTCCATATTCCTACTAATTCATTACCATTTGATCAAATTGAGACTCACTATGCCGAGGCTACTTTCTATGATGAGTTTGCTTCTCCTAGTGAAGCAACAGTATCTTGCCTTGTTGGCACTACTTTGCTAGCTGGGAATGATGTCAAAAACAATTCTAATATTGATCTAAGAAGTGTCTTAGACCACAAAAGGCAAAAGAAGGAGGCAACAAAGACAATCTAAGTGCACCTAAAATGTACTTGAATTATCCTTCTGGATGAAAGGATTAAAGATACTTTATAAAGGTGCATAGGGCCTCCTAGCCATGTACAAGACGGCTCCATTGCCAGTAGTTCAACCATGCTTCCTGATTGCTTTCTCATTTATTTAAGGAAAAACACTTTGATTGACAAGTTGGTTCTTTATAGTGAAGCAAAATGTCTTACTCTTGAAGCTGGAAATAAAATACTTTTTGATTACTTAGAGCCTTTTGGCAAAGTTGATTATCTTGCTTCACCAAACAAGTTGCCAACACTCCACAAGGCTCAACTTGCACTTACTTGTCTAGAATCTCTTCAGGCTATTGATCTTGGGGATGATTCATCACACCTTAAGTGTGTACATATCAGCATTACTCTTTTTGTTGATGAAAGAGCCAAGATGATTGACTTAATTTAGGAATACAAACATATTTTTGCTTGGAACTATGATGAAATGCCAGGGCTTAATCCAGCCTTGGTTGTGCACTCTTTGGATGTTGATCCCAAAGAAAAACTAGTTGTGTAGCCAAATCATGCTTTTTTTTCGAAAGTCATTAGCATAATTAAAGAGGAGGTCGAGAAGCTCTTAGTGGCCAAATTGATCAAACTAACCAAGAAGCCCACTTGGTTAGCCAACATTAAACCCTTTCAATAGAAAAATGGGCAAATTAGATGTTGTATTGATTTTCATGACCTTAATAAGGCATGCCCAAAAGATGAATTCTCTATGTCAAACATGGACATGCTTATGGACAATATTGTTGGTTGTGAAATGTATTCTTTTATAGATGGCAGAACAGATATAGTCAAGTTAGCATACGCCTTATTGATGCAGAGGAAACTGCCTTTTGCATTCTTATCAGTAATTTTTATTAAGTGATTATGCCTTTTAGTCTTAAAAATGCTGGAGCTACTTATTAAAGAGTCATGATGGTTAATTTTCATGATTTCATCCACATTTATATTAAGATTTACATTTATGATATTGTGGTGAAATCCAAAACAAGGTTGAGCCATTTTGGTGTGTTAAGGAAGATCTTCGACATATGTTGTTTGTACAAGCTAAAAATGAACCCAACAAAGTGAGCATTTAGCATTTTTGTTGGAAAGTTTCTTGGCTTTCTTGTGAACAAAACATGGCATTTGTGTGGATCCTATCAGGTTTAAGGCTATTTGACCTATGTAGCATTTTACAAATCTTAAACAAGTGTAAAGCTTCATCGACAATCTCATATATCCACAAATTCATTCTTCGCTAGTGGAAATTCTATTTGTGTTTAGCCCTTTGCTGAAGAAAAGGGTGGTCTTCGCATGGATAGAGGAACATCAACATGCCTTCCTACACTTACAAGATCTTATGCATAGATTACCAAACATATTTGTTCCTATCCAAGGCTGGCCACTCAAAGTCTATTTATCTACCATTAACAAGGTTGTGGGCGCCCTAGTTGCCTATGATAACCAAGAAGGTAAAGAACAACATGTTATTATGTTAGCTGAAATCTCAAAGGTACTAAGTCAACGTATCCTTTGGTTGAGAAAATTTGTTTTGCAGTGATCTATGTCTCTCAATGTCTTTGACATTATTTCTTGGCTCACAAAGTTCAACTCATCACAAAATGTTAGCCCATTTGGTACCTCCTAACTTGGCCTTTGCTCATCAAACGTCTTGTTAATTAGTTCTTTAATTATCTCAGTATGATATTACATGTATAAATCCCACTGCTATCAAGGGATAATCTGTTACAGACTTGTTATCTAAATTTTTTAGCGATATCCAACATCCTATCTTTGACGAAATCTTTGGTGGTAAGGTTGCTCTTGCACAAGAAATTGAAGAAGAATGGACTTTACATTTTGATGGGTCTTCCATGGTTAAAGGGGCTACCTAAGCTACCTAACCGTGTTGACTGATGGTTTGAGATTCATGACACTTGGCTACAGTAGAGATTTGATGTGCCTCTAAAAGATCTATCTAACTGTGTCATCATTTCTCGTGAGTTGTATTATCATCTCCTCAACAATGTTATGAGTTGGTGCATTAGTGATAAAGAAGCTTATTAGACTTAAAGAAATTCATGATTGCACATGTGGTGAAGATAGTTGTATAAACTCATACAGCAAGGTTCAATGAGCTGGGTATTATTAGCCAAACATGGCACATCAAGCCACTAAATTTCAATAACAATGAATATCTTGTCAATAATCTTATTATGAATAATGCTTCACTGTTAATAGTGTTCAGGATTGGTGCCATCCTTACATGGAGTATTTTGGTAAGGGAACATGGCTTGAGTCTCCAAAAGGTCTGCATAACTTTAAAAGATCTTTATCAAAATTTTTCATGGACGGTAGAGTTTTATTTAGCATCAACTTTGTTGGCAAATTACTTCGGTGCTCATTGCGTAAAGACAAGGAATGTTGACATAAAGAAAAAAAAAAAAAAACAAGATAAAGGTGCAATACACAAAATACATGTACCATAAAAAAAAGGTTAAATCCCTATTTTGGTCGCTCCACTTTAGTAAGAAACCCATTTTTAGTCCTTCTACTTAAAAAAGCCCCTTTTTGGTCCCTGCAGTTTGAAATTTGATCCCTTTTTAGTCCCTTTGTTAAATTTTGCATATGTAGCACATTAGTTGACAAAAATTTCAAAGTAGAGGGACCAAAAAGGGGCTAAAAAGGAGCTAAAAATAACCCCAATTTAGTCCCTTAACTTTAGAAAAGGTCCCTTTTTAGTTCCTCTTTTTTGAAATTTTTATCATCTAACATCAAAACTTAACGAAAAGACTAAAAAGGAGTCAAATTTCAAACT